TATATATATATATATATATATATATATATATATATATATATATTAATTAAAAAAACAACAACAACAAAACAATACATTTTGCGTATCGATGGACGATCGATGTTGAATTGAAGATGTCCCATGTCTTCAAATCACGAAGATAAGCCAAATTGGTGCAAGCCTCTAAGAACTTGGGAATTCTTTTTTTGACTGGAAAAAAATATAAAGTCAGGAAAAAAACATTATTTGGAAGTGGAACATATTATTTGTTATATGTATTGTTTGTTGAATGCGAAATCTCCGAAGGACGGATCTCGCCAGAATGTCTATAGATGTATCATTGACAGATGCTTCCGATATAGGCTATCGAACAAGTAAACAAAACAAAATCACAAAATAATATGAAATAAAAAAAAATCGTAAGTTTAAAATCACTCAGTCCGATATATCGTCCTACTCAGTTGGATGTAACCCCGCTCTTTTGTCGAGTAAAGGCAGGGTTTTGCAAGTGTGCACAGATTGCAAGCGATGACTAGGCGTAGACGATGGAATAGGGTCATGGCTTGGGAGATGGTTGAAGACGGGGGCAGTCTTCGAAATGAAATCGCAAAGCGAATAATGCAAGATAAAAGTTAGAAAATATGAAAATATACGCCATATTCCCAGTAAAGATTCGATCGTCTTTTTAGTAGAAACGGAGACAAGCAACTTCAGACGTGTATACCTAGCGTGTAGTTGGGTCTGCATAAACCTTTACTATTTAAAATCAAATCGTATGTGAGGATAGTCTGTTCGCTTCCAAGTACTGAAATACTGTACCCTCATGCGTCAAGCGATGGCGTGGGCAGTATATTATATATCTTCTTTTAAGTTATTTTTTATAAAAAAAATCGATTTATTTCGTAACCTTTCATTATTTTAAATATATAATAAATAAACCCCAAACTAAAATAACATAAATATCAATTACATTATATAATATATATATAAAAAAACATATATATTCACTTTTGTTTATTAGACATTAAATTATATCACTTAGCATCATCCATAGTTTGCCTAGACATTTCCGTCTAATGAATATTTATGAGCGTCCTTAAATTTAGAAATTTAAAAAAAAACTAGCGACATTTTTACTTTTTCTTTATAAATGCTTGTTGCAAATATTTTTAACAACGAGAGTAATAAAAATAATAAAAAATAAGGAAGGCAGTAAAACCTCTGTGTTTGTTGGTGCCCTGCTTGTCGGCCTCTCTGCCTCTGAGCTGTGAGAAACCCAAACGAGGCTATACCGAAGGGCAGAGTCTCGTCTGGGGAGGGTGACAGCTACCCGACTCCGTCTATGCAGAGTCTACGGGCAATTTTTGCCGAGCCTGCCGGCTCGGAATCACCCCACGTGAAATAACCGGCATTGTGCCACACCCCGCCTTGTTAGGGAGATCTTGGGTAAATACTTAGAATAATAAAAAATGTTCTCATATATTTGATAATGATACAGTATTTACATTAGTCGGACTATTCTCCTCATCTTTGTCGCCATATTTATCACAACGTTTCGGCCGTTGTACGCTCCGGCCTACTTCAGGTGGTTGGAATTTCGAACTGAACCCTTTACTTCGATCACTGGGGTAGACTGTTCTAGTTCCACGTGCCATGTTTGATGGATGTCAGTTATCAGTTATCTCCTGCTAATTTTCCCTCTGAAAGTTCTCCACTGCCTTAACCAGGTATTGAACTCACCTTCTTTGGGTCTGTCACTGGATCTAACCAACGCCTTTATCCACTGTGCCATGTGTCCTTGAGGACACATGGCAAAACGTTGTGACAAATATGGCGACAAAGATGAGGACAATAGTCCGACTAATGTAAATACTGTACATAATACCTCATCTCAGAAATATAGACAGAATTTGATAATGATTTTATAATTTTAATTCTTTTTTACAAAATCCAGAGAAAGATCTGCAATGTAATCGGCCCTGACCTGGTATCTCGGCTTCAGTCACTTTCTCACCGACGTGATGTGGCTTACCTCTGTCTTTTTTTTTTTTTTTTTTTTTTTTTAACAAATATTTTCATGGCAACTGCTCTGACATGCTTTTTTCCCTGCTGCCCGGGTTACGTGAATTTAAGCGAGCTACTAGATTGACATCTAGGTTTTACCCTTTTACTGTTGAAACCGCCACTTCTACTCTAAGAGTTTCTTTTCTCGCACTTCCTGTCAGTGGAATTCCCCTCCACTTACTTGCTTCCCTGATAACTTGAATCTTCAAAAATTTAAATGCCATGTCAATCGCCATCCTCTGGTGATTGATCTCCGTTCATCTTTTATCTATCCTCCTTATTTTCACTCTCTGTTACTCCCAGCGTGTTAGTGGCACGCCCCGCTGCTTGGGGTGATATGCTTAAAAAAATTATTGTTTTGTTTTTATCATTGACATTAAAGCAATATTTGATAATGAACTATTTCCTCCGACATCCAGTGTAAAATATACTTGTCTGTCTGTTCATGTATGTTTCGATGAATAAATGGTTATTATCCCTTATTATCCGTGTTTCTCTCTAACCACCCCCACGCCAACCCTCTTTTGTCATTTTTTCGAATAAATGGTTTTTCTCCAACTCTCCCCGTTGTTTTTCTTATTTAGTCACGTGGTTATGGTTTTTTGTCTATTGACTATAAGTATTCCGTTCTTTTGTTACATTTTTTAGCCAGTCTTCCCACATGATCCGCCAAGTTAGCGGGAAGGCCAAGACTGACTTTGCATTTCCCAACTCCCATCGATAGTGGAAATAATCAATTTTTTCATGCTTCTACGGCAGTTTTCATGTAGTTTGCGGCCATTTTCTACTGGCCAGAGTGAGAGTCAATAGCTGGCTGCCACGAATAGGCAGGAAGATTCTATTGGCCAGCGCGAGAGCCAACAGCAGACTGACACGAATGTTAACTAGCATGCTAGCATGCAAAAAAAAAATCGATAGCTGCATTCGTCACAAGTGGAAAAAATTTAAATCTGCATGGCACTTTACTCCAATTAGTTCATTCGTTTACTTAAACTCAACGTTGATTCTGATTCCGCAGAACTGTGTTGGGTGTGAAAAAGTATTTGTTGTTAACATTCTTTTTTCATTCGGTTTTTCCAGTTACGAGTCCTTTTTTATAGCTGATCGTTTTGTGTTCATTTTATTTAGTTCTTTTTTCGTAACAGATTGAATGTTTAGTATAGAGCTTAGAAAAATTCGCAGTGTGATATAGGCAAGAAGTAAGGCATGTAACAACATCATCACGGCAAAGGGCACTCCTTTAAAGGCAAGGAAGGGCAAAAATATTTTAAGTCGAGTGATAAAGATTGCTATATGAGTCGTACGAGTTTTGAATCAAGCACTGGCAACGGCAGGCCATGCTGCTAGTATATATATATATATATATATATATATATATATATATATATATATATATATATATATATATATATATATATATGTACGTATGAGTGCCATCCCGAAAAGGACACAGAGGAGAAATTTTCATCCATGAAACATTACTGAACATAACCAAATGGAAACTGACATAGTTTCAAAAATTTAAAAAAATAAATCAGTTTTTCTGACGATCTCATAGAGCGTGAAACAAGGGGTCACAAACTCATATAAATCCGATTAAATATGTTAGATCTCTCACTGATATTGAGCGCTTTCCAACAAGTCAATAAGTACTGCGCATATACAATATACAAATAATACATATAGAAATTAAACACACACACACACACACACACACACACACACACACATATATATATATATATATATATATATATATATGTATGTGTGTGTGTGTGTGTGTGTGTGTGTATGTACTATTTGTATCTTATAGATATTTTCCAAGCATAGTTTAGACGTGGCCATACTTTCGGCCTTGTGTCACATCTAAGCTATGCTTGAAAAATCTCTATAATATACAAATAATACATATATACATATATATATATATATATAATTAAATTCCCAGGTCAATTCTAACTATATTGTCGACATGGAACGAAAATGAGCTCGTAGTATATAGGAAATTTACATTAACCAGAAAGAGGCTTTCGCAGAAGCGTCACCACTTTTTTTAAAAAGTTGAATATTTTAATGTAACTATAACAGCAAAAACATTTCGATTTCACTTTTGACTTGAAAAAGTCGGCAAAAAACTAAGATCTTTTTCCCAATTGTTATCATATATATATATATATATATATATATATATATATAATTATTTATTTAAAAATATGATTCCAAAACGCTACATAAGATGTCTCATGTTTCAAAACAAGAGCCGAAAACTTCAATATAATTATTTAAATTAAATTGAGTTAAAATAAGGTCTGTTCCATCTTCAAGCGAACTAAAATACTAAGGGACTTTGGATTATTTACCTAACCAGTTCCTTCCTATTTTCTATATATTTTCACATATTATATATATATATATATATATATAATTTAGTGTTTAGATTTAATTGATAATATATGTGAATAAAGACTTTTTTTATTTTCATCTGTTTAATCTTATATTATTCTTATAATCTATGCGATCTGATAATCCTTTTAAACAGCTAATCCAATCCGTATAGTCAAGTCTGGTATGAAATTGGTCTAATATATGGTTTTGTCTCAATGAGATTTAGTCACTATTATTTGCTTTAGGTCTAGGTTGACTTTTCTCTGTTTTGTTAAGTGTACAATGGATGGTAATCGTACTATTTTTTTTATATTATTTCTGTTTGCGTGTGTTCAATGTTGTGGAAACTTTTGCATTCCCGTCCTGAGTGTTGCCACGTAAGGTTTCAAGTCTCCCCGTGATTAACCCCGGGTTGACTTGCAAGGAACGGGGTTGGGTAGATAGTAGGACAGGTGAACAGGGGAGTCGGTGAAAATTTAGGGTCACGGAGTTGGGTTGGGCCTTCCTGCGAAGAACTGTCATTTCTGTCCGGTCTTTGATTGTATGCAAAACAAATTCAGTACAGACTGACTCTAAGTGTGACCACTTGGCACCCCGAAATAATTTAGTGACATTTTCGAAAGATCTTGAAGAAAAAAGTAAAAAAAAAAAAAAGTGTAGGGTGGGGTCGAAGGAAAAATAAAAGAAGAAATAAAGAAGAAAATGCGAATAGAAAAAGAGAAGTTGAAGCAAACAAGTAGAGTGGTAAAGAAAGAATAAGGATGGTTATGGAAAAGGAGGGCAAAAGTGTACCAGAGAGAGGGGAAGAAGAATAAGTGTGAGAGAGAGAGAGAGAGTGAGAGAGAGAGAGAGAGAGGTGGGGAGAAAAAGAGAAAGAGGCAGGCAGACAGAGAAATAGAGAAAGAGAGAGGGAGGGCGAAATAAACGAAAAATATCAACAGAGCGAAAGAGAACGACATAGAGAAATAAAGTAAAATGTTCCAAGAAAGAAAGAAAGAAAGAAAGAAAGAAAGAAAGAAAGAAAGAAAGAAAGAGAAGCAAAAGAAAAATCTCAGGGGGAGAGAGAGAAATTAAAAGAAAGAAAGAAAGAAAGAAAGAAAGAAAGAAAGAAAGAAAAAGAAAGAAAAAGAAAGAAAGAAAAATGAGTAAAAAATCGGAAGAAAGAAAATGTCAGGCGACAATAAAAGAAAGAGAGAAATTAAGAAAAGCGAATGAAAACATACCAGAAGTGCAAAAGAAAGAAAGAAAGAAAGAAAATTTAAGTGAAAGAAAAATTCAGAAGAAGAAAAGTAAAAAATCGAAAGAAAGAAAATATCAGACGACAATAAAAGAAAGAAAGAAAGAAAGGAAGAAAGAAAGAAAGGAAGAAAGAAAAAGAAAGAAAATTGAAGCAAAAGAAAAATGAGTAAAAAATCGGAAGAAAGAAAATGTCAGGCAACAATAAAAGAAAGAAAGACAGAAAGAAAGAAAAGCGAATGAAAAAATATCAGAAGTGCAAAAGAAAGAAAGAAAGAAAGAAAGAAAGGAAAGTTAAGCAAAAGAAAGATTCAGAAGAAGAAGAGTCAAAAATCGACAGAAAGAAAATGTCAGGCGACAATAAAAGAAAGAAAGAAAAGTGAATGAAAACATATCAGAAGTGCAAACGAAAAAAATAAATAAATAAAGAAAGAAAATTTAAGCAAAAGAAAAATTCAGAAGATGAAGAGTAAAAAATCGAAAGAAAGAAAATATCAGACGACAATAAAAGAAAGAAAGAAAGAAAGAGAATCGAATGAAAAATATCAGAAGTGCAAAAGAAAGAAAGAAAGAAAGAAAGAGGAAATGCCAGGTGAGAATATGAGAAAGAGGGAACTAAAGAAAGAGTGAAACGCTTTAAAAAATAACAATACGGATTTCGAAAGAATGAAATAGACAAAAGAGAGAGCAAAGTGAGTAGAGAGTCCGAGAAAAAGAGAGAGAGAAAGACACAGAGAGAGAGAGAGAGAGAGAGAGAGAGAGAGATCAACGAAGAGAGAGAGTTGTTTCTCGATTAGATCGAAAGGCCATAAAGTAATTGCCTGATAGATTTTCTGTTAATAAAATCTCGACCTTTAAAGTTAACCCGTTTCCCGTCAAGTATAAATTTAAGCGCTAAACGCCAACGCTGTATAAATGTATAAAATGCCACAATATATTTTAGATATGACCAGATATGGTACTCAAGAGGTTGGCAAACTGGTCGGCCGAACCAGTAGATGTGCAGGTTCTATAATAGATATCGGCTCGGAATCAGAAATTGGGGAGCAAAGTTAGAATTCTAAAAAAACAATTTTTCCTTTTTTAATCATTTCACCCCAAGCAAGGCAACAAAGCCACTAAAACGCAGAAGGGGGTTACTAAGAGTGAAAGAATATAAGAAAAACATTATTAGGGAACGAGAACAATAAAATTTATTCCTTGCATTATTTCCATTATTCGGACTCTTACACTCATCTTCATTGCCATATTCACAACGTTTCGGCCGTTGTACGCTACGGCTTTCCGGTAGAGCTGGGAACGAATCTCCAACTACAGGATAACTACTATCCGCCCCACGTAGTCAAATGTGGCACAAGGCCGAATTTAATGTGGGGTATCCGAACCCGTAGGCTCGGCCAAAATTTCCTGTAGATCCCGTATAAAACGGGGCCGGGTAGCGGTTTCTCGAGATGAAACACTGCCCTTCGACATAGCCACGTCTGGGGATCCTCTCTGCCTGTAAGCAGAGAGTTTGACCAGCACAGCTGGAGACGAATCTCCAACTGCAGAACAACATACAGTATTTACTACTGTATTATCGCCCGTAGGTATGTTACAACACTAGACCACAAAATTCTCCTGAGCCGACCAAGCATAGAAATGAATATAATAAGTGAACCAGTAATAAGGAGTGCTACAGAAAAAGAATGAAAAACGACAAAAATTGCAATATAAGATATGGTAAAAATGCAATAATAATAAGAGAAAAATTGCAATATAAGCTCTGGTAAAAATACATTAATGATAAATGAAAAAATTGCAATATGAGCAATAGTAAAAAAAAAAGTTGCTGAGACATTAGGCACCGAAAAACTCGTAGATGCCCTCAAAGTCATATGGCCCAGTGGATAAAGGCGTTGGTTAGATCCAGTGACTAGATCCAAAGATAGTAAGCTATGTCATTTTTCTCTACATGATTCAAATCCTTTGTTTTTAATGTTTCAGCCAATATATCCTTCCGTATTTGCATTATTTACATTATTCGAACTGTTATCCTCATCTTCATTGCAATATTCATAACCTTTCGGCCGTTGTACGCTCCGGACTTCTTCAGGTGATTGGAATTTCGAACTGAACCCTTTATTTCGTCCACAGGGGCAGATTGTTCTAGTTCCACGTGCCATGCCACTTCTGGATGTCTCAGTTATTTCCCTTTAACTCAACTCTCCAAGGTTTTGCTCGAGATTCCAATCACCTGACGAAAGCCGGAGCTTACAACGACCGAAGCGTTGTAAATATTTCAATGAAGATGAGGATAACAGTCCGAATAATGTAAATAATGAAAGTGATCATAATAACTCATCTGAGAGATAGAGACAGATATTGAAAAATAGACTGACTTATTCATTTTCTACGCCTTATGAATCCTTTGTCTATTTAAGGCCAGAGAATTTTTTAGATTCTTAGGATCTGAAGAGGGGAGATGATGATTTACTGATACAAGTCTCAGAAATTAACCCAGAACTGAGGAAGAGGAGGATTTGAACGTCATCAGAATTTCAAAAACAAAGAAAAATTATACAGCACCTGATATTACTAAGCGGTTACCCAGCTACTTATATCATAAGGACAATAAAAGAAGAGGAATTAAGAAGATAGATGATAACGATTGACATTGCATTGAATTTTTTAAAGATCAAAGTTGAATGGAAAGAAAGACGAGTGAAAGAGAATTAGAAGACTTTAGTGAGGGGAAGGAACAATAAAAGAAGAGGAATTAAGAAGACAGAAGATAACGATTGACATTGCATTGAAATTTTTGAAGATCAAAGTTGACTGGAAAGTAAGACGAGTGAAAGAGAATTAGAAGACTTTAGTGAGGGGAAAGGACAATAAAAGAAGAGGAATTAAGAAGACAGAAGATAAAAATTGACATTGCGTTTAAATTTTTGAAGATCAAAGTTGACTGGAAAGTAAGAAGAGTGAAAGAGAATTAGAAGACTTTAGTGAGGGGAAAGGACAATAAAAGAAGAGGAATTAAGAAGATAGAAGATAACGATTGACATTGCATTGAAATTTTGGAAGATCAAAGTTGGATGGAAAGTAAGACGAGTGAAAGAGAATTAGAAGACTTTAGTGAGGGGAAAGGACAATAAAAGAAGAGGAATTAAGAGAAGACAGAAGATAAAAATTGACATTGCAAATTTTTGAAGATTTTGGAAAGAAGAAGAGTCAAAGAAATTAGAAGACTTTAGGATGGGAAAAGGACAATAAAAGAAGAGAATTAAGAAGAAGAAGAAAAAATTGACATTGAAATTTTTGAAGATCAAAGTTGACTGGAAAGTGAAGGGAAAGAAATTAGAAGACTTTAATAAGGGAAAAGGACAATTAAAGAAGAGGAATTAAGAAGATAAATAACGATTGACATTGCATTGAAATTTTGGAAGATCAAAGTTGATGGAAAGTAAGACGAGTGAAAGAGAATTAGAAGACTTTAGTGAGGGAAAGGACAATAAAATAAGAGGAATTAAGAAGACAGAAGATAAAAATTGACATTGCGTTTAAATTTTGAAGATCAAAGTTGACTGGAAAGTAAGAAGAGTGAAAGAGAATTAGAAGACTTTAGTGAGGGGAAAGGACAATAAAAAAGAGGAATTTAAGAAGACAGAAGATAACGATTGACATTGCATTGAAATTTTGGAAGATCAAAGTTGACTGGAAAGTAAGAAGAGTGAAAGAGAATTAGAAGACTTTAGTGAGGGGAAAGGACAATAAAAGAAGAGAAATTAAGAAGACAGAAGATAACGATTGACATTGCATTGAAATTTTTGAAGATCAAAGTTGACTGGAAAGTAAGAAGAGTGAAAGAGAATTAGAAGACTTTAGTGAGAGGAAAGGACAATAAAAGAAGAGGAATTAAGAAGACAGAAGATAACGATTGACATTGCATTGAAATTTTTGAAGATCAAAGTTGACTGGAAAGTAAGAAGAGTGAAAGAGAATTAGAAGACTTTAGTGAGGGGAAAGGACAATAAAAGAAGAATTAAGAAGACAGAAGATAAAAATTGGCATTGCAAACTGAAAAAACAAAACCTGACGAGAGTTCCACAAAAGAGAAGTGCGAGAGAAGAAACTGTTGGCATAGAACTTACGATTACATCTAGCCATTTTAACTGTAAAATGATGAGACCTTGCCGCCAATCGAGTACTGCGCTTAAATTCATAGGTATCGTCGAGGAAAGTTCAAGACTCGGGGAAGCTACGTTACGGGCTACGGATGGAACTGAAACCGAAATATCAGATCAGGAGCAATAAAACGGGGAAATCCAAAGTATTTTCGGCTTTAAACAAGTGACAAAGGGGTTGATAAGCCGTAAGAAAAGTTAGAGAGAAAAGTGATTTTGACAAAACTGTAGAGACTGAAAGAAAAAAAAGCAAATTATTTAAACGAAAAAGTTTGTTTTTAATAAAATGTTATTTGACGTCCTTATAAATATTAATTATATTTTTTTAAAATTCAACCCTGGCTTATGCAAAAATTGACCCCACAATGTCCATTTCATGGCTGAAACTCAAAATAAAGCAAGGTAAACTTCTAATGGAGGTAATTCATTTCAGTCCCAGGACAAACACTAATTATGATAAAAAGAAATTCAATCAAGGCCCACATAGTCAACAAACTTTGTAATTTTTTTCAGCGTCTCAAACGAAAGTCTAACACCTCAAAAGAAAAGAAACACATGCTGGTCGATGTACTCTTCGTCCTTCCTGCATTTTTCTATTTCTACCACACAACATTGTCATTATTTGTCTAAAAGACTACAAGAACATGGTAATGCGGCAACACGAGGGGAAAATAGAAAAATCAGGTGTAGCTGACCATATAGGGAGGGAAAAGGGAGATCAGACCCAACCGGGTGGGAAGATGCTGCAATAAAAGACAGAGAGCATCATTGAAAAATACGAAAACTTAAGGAATCCGTAGTAGGTGTTGTTACTGAATAGAATAAACAAACGAAGGTTGGCAATGAACGATAATACTTAGGACAAGAACAACACATATAAGATTCGCCAACGGTGCGTAGAAGAATTAAACTATAAATCAAGTAAATTCCACAATGAATCTCCAACTGGAGGATACCTACCAAAAACCCGAAGCGGTCAGATGTGACACAAGGCCGAATTTAATGTGGGGTATCCGAGCCTGTTAGAAAAAAATTCTCGGTAGGTCCCGTATAAAACGGGTCGGGTAGCTGTTTCCCGAGACTAAACTCTGCCTCGTCTGGGGATCCTCTCTGCTAAGAGGCAGAGAATTTTACCATCACTGCTGGAGACGAATCGCCAACTGCAGACCAACATACAGTATTTACTACTGTATTTATGTGAACGGTGACATACCCATTATCGCCTGTAGGTATGCTACAACACTAGGTCAAAAAATCTCCTGAGCCAACCAAGCATAGAAATGAATAAAATATGTGAACCAGTAATAAGGAGTAAAGCAATGAATAACAACAAAAATTGCAATATAAGCTCTGGTAAAAATACATTAATGATAAAAGAAAAAATTGCAATATGAGTAATGGTAGAAAACGGTTGCTGAGACCTTAGGCTTATAAGTCCCAAAAACTCATAGATGCCCCCAAGGTCATATGGCCTAGTGGATAAAGGCGTTGGTTAGAGCCAGTGACTAGATCCAAAGATAGTAAGCTATGGCATTTTTCCTTATATGGTTCAAATCATCTTTGTTTTTAATGTTTCAACCAATATATCCTTTCTTATTTGCATTATTTACATTATTCGGACTGTTATCCTCATCTTCATTGCAATATTCTCAACGTTTCGGCCGTTATACGCTCCGGACTACTTCAGGTGATTGGATTTTGGAACTGAACCCATTATTTCGTCTATAGAATAGATTCTTCTAATTCCACATGTTATGCCTCTTCCGGATGTCTCACTTATTTCCCTTTAACTCAACTCTCCAAGTATTTTGGTTCCCCACTGCTGTGGCCTGGTATTGAACTCACAACTCTTTGGGACTAGTCACTAGATCAAATCAACGCCTTTATCCACTGGGCCATACATCATTGAGGACCACTGTTCGAATAATGTAAATAATGCAAATAATGATAATACCTCACCTCAGAGATATGGACATATATATCCTTCCTTGTATGAAAGAAATAGAAAAATGGTCCTGACCTGGCATCTCGGATTTACCGATTTACCCGCTGCCGTAGCATAGCTACCCTGTAACTTAACCATAAATACTTTAATGGTATTTGTCCTGTATTTACCCTGTAACTTATCCATAAATACTTTCATGGTATTTGTAATGTATTTACCCTGTACCGTATCCATAAATACTTTCATGGTATTTGTCCTGTATTTACCCTGTACCGTATCCATAAATACTTTCATGGTATTTGTCCTGTATTTGCCATGTACCGTATCCATAAATACGTTCATGGTATTTGTCCTGTATTTACAATGTACCTTATCTATAAATACTTTCATGGTATTTGTCCTGTATTTACCTTGTAACTTATCTATAAATATTTCATGGTATTTTCCTGTATTTACCTTGTAACCTATCTATAAATACTTTCATGGTATTTGTCCTGTATTTACCTTGTAACTTATCTATAAATATTTCATGGTATTTTCCTGTATTTACCTTGTAACCTATCTATAAATACTTTCATGGTATTTGTCCTGTATTTACCTTGTAACTTATCTATAAATACTTTCATGGTATTTGTCCTGTATTTACAATGTACCTTATCCATAAATACTTTCATGGTATTTTCCCTGTATTTACAATGTACCTTATCTATAAATACTTTCATGGTATTTGTCCTGTTTTCATCTGTACTTTATCTATAAATACTTTCATGGTATTTGTCCCTACGAACTTTCCACTATTGTACCTAAGCTTTTTGGATTTAAGCGTAGTACTAGAATGGCGCCAAGATTATCATCATTTTTATATAAGGAATGCCTAGATTCAACCGTAAGTTCTTTGTTAACATTTTCTTTTCTCGTACTTCCCTCTCGTTCAACTATTTTCCGGTCTATGTTTTCCGGTCAACTTTCATATTCAATAATTTAAATGGAACGTCAGTCATCTACTGTCTTCAAGATTGCTCTTCTATTTTTCTCGCTCCTTAAAAATGTTTCTCTTTTTTCTTATTCTTTCACACACAGTAAATTCTTTATGCCTTAGCGGCTTTACTGCCTTGCATGAAGTGAAATGATTAAAAAAACTATGGTATAGTGATTACTTAAAAAAGAATTTGTGTATATTAGGCTGTAATTGGGTTTTAGCAATTTATGTAAAGAATAGATTTTAATGCTTGATAGTAATTTAGGTGTCTAAAAAACCATATATATATATATATATATATATATATAGTTTTGTAAATAATTTTATCGTGTGTGCTACAACATATATAACAAGAAGACTCACGTTAGATCTCTTTCACGAAGAATTTGTGTATATGAGGCTGTAATTGGGTTTTAGCAATTTGTGTAAAGTATAGATTTTAATGCTTGATAGTAATTTAGATGTCTAAAAACCATATATATATATATATATATATATATATATATATATATATATATATATATATATATATATTTGTAAATAATTTTATCATGTATGCTACAACATGTATAACAAGAAGACTCACGTTATATCTGTTTGACCATAGCACAAATAGACCTCAGTTAAATAGGCATGGAGACCTACAAAACAAAATCTGTAACACACTCACTGATAATACAAATATAATAGTCTCATCAACATTTACAACAAGGTTAAAATAATGCAAGCATGATTAATAAAAAAAACGAAAATGCCAACACGCAATAATATCAACTATCAACACGGCCATAATGTGCTGACCATACTTGGAAAATAAAACATTCTTCTAACACTAGATGCATACATAAAACATATGTTCGGTTAAAATTAAAATAAAATTCATCCTTGATAATGGCTAAACCGGTTAGAGAACATTCGAAAAATTTTTATTCATTTTCTGAAAAGAAAAATATAATATAAGAGTACATGAGAATTTATATAAAAGAAATCAACCACCACACCTTGTCAGTCATTATCCACGAAGCTCATATATATATATATATATATATATATATATATGAAAAATGAGACAAGAGGAGAAACTAGCCTTAGCCGACGCCTTTCTAAGACTAGTTTTCTCATTTTTAGCCTTTACAGAGACACTCTATCTGAAAATATCTCTCTCTCTCTCTCTCTATATATATATATATATATATATATATATATATATAAAAGAGAGAGGGAGAGAGAGATGTGAAAAGTGTGTGTATATAAATATAAATAAATATATATATGTATAATTATTTATATATTATATGCGCGGTACTTATTAGAAAGCGCTCAATATCAGAGATAGTGCTAACATATTTGGTTGGATCTTTGAATTTCAACATACAAATGCGTATGTATAGACATAACACCACCCGTATACATACATATGTCATATCCGAAACTGCCCACATATGTTTATATATGTATGAGTCCCGACGAACGACCAAGTATGTATATGTGTCTGCATACATCGATGTTTGCGTTAGTACGATGACATAAGCGACGAAGTTTCCCCCAACCACTTCCACAATAACACCAATACACGCAATCTACATAAACCCAAATTTTTAAAAACATTAATCAGTTTGTCTGACGATCGCTAAAGCGTGAAACCTAGGGTCACAAACTCACATCTATCCAACCAAATATATATATATATATATATATATGGGGAATTCGGGGAATTAAGAGCAGCATGAATCCATCCAGCTCTTATCTCAAATAACAACTTAAAAGACTGTTTGACCAACACAAAGACTGACCAAAATTCATGTTAAAAAATTTAAAAAAACAAATGAAAACTACCATCAAGACATTCATTTCTGTAGTTCACTGCTACCAGCAAACACAATTTTTTTTCCTGATGATGGCCATTTTGGCCGAAACTAGTCAAGGAATCTAAATGAAATAATAATAAAAACGAAAAAATATTAATATACAACAAAGTGTATCTAAAATTTTAATTTTAATATTTTTTATTGTTCAATATATATATATATATATATATATATATATATATATATATATATATATATATATATATATATATATATATATATATATATATATATATATTTCTAAATAATTAGTAATAATCTATTTATCTAGGTAAATAGGATGGGAATTTCAATGACAAAATAAAATAAATATTTAATGCGTTTCGTCTTTGAAATGTAGTTCTTCAAACTGAATAATATTTGCATTGATGGGTTTTGTTATATATATATATATATATATATGTATGTATAGCAGTTATTCGTCAAAGCTAAATTAGACCAAGAAACATTTGTATTAAAAAGGGCTCAATGCACATAATAAAAATAAAAAAATCCAGAGTTACTAAATTGAAAAAATAAAAGATAAGCCAATTTCTCTACCATGGTTTCAACATTTAGGGATCCTCACGCGATAAAGGCCCAAATTCTGACCATTATCATCTGAACATACCGAAACGTTGAAACCAAGGTAGCTCAATTAGCTGATCACTTATATATATATATATATATATATATATATATATATATATATAAAAAAAATAATCACATAGAATCAATCAGCAATATTGCTGATTGATTCTATGCGTGATTATAATACCTAATGTT